AAGAGATTTCTCCTGGGGAAAAGTCCTTGAGTCCTTGGGGTCCAAGCTGAGCTGAGAGGGTGACTGCAGAAATAGTGATGGTTTCCGAAGGTGCGTGATGACAGGTTCCCTCTCTCCTGTCAAGGACGGTGCCAGCAGAGAAGATATGAGGCACACACAGAGAATCTGTGTGTGCCAGGCCCCATGCCAGGTGCTCCCACGATTCCAAACATGTTACCTAATCCTCATCCTAATCCAAGGCAGGAGAGAGAATTCCTATTTACAGATGAGCTAGTGAAGTCTCAGAGTAGTTAGGTAATTCTCCCATTTATCAACCTAAAGAATGATAGGTGAATTTAAAAGGTGGGTTGGGGAATTTGCATCTTTTGGGGGGTTTTGAGTTTAGAATCCACAGGGACAGACTCTAGTTACTTAAGGCTAGTTATCCAATTAAGGTGAGCACCCAAGAACCAAAAGAATGCTGGAACGCCTCACAGGATCACCCTGTGGCCATCTGTGGTCATCCTTAGCACCCACCCAACGGAAGGGCTGGCAACGTGGCACCAACATTGCCATTTCTGGCTCTGAGCTCAGCTACTCGTTGAAGAGAATGGGAAGACAGGACTAAGCTCTACAAAGAAGGAGGAGGCACGAGGGGGGCCAAGACAGGAAGGGGCCCAGAGCGCAGAGGATGTATTAAATATGGAATGAATGAACGAGCAGCTGCACAGTTACACAACTGATGTTGGATGTCCATCTGGCAAACTTGTTCTGGAGGCACTCACTCTCCCTTCTTCATGCCAGACAGAAACATTAATTCTGTAGTAGGAAATGAGAAAGTCCAACTTTTGATTATATTCAGATTTAACTGTAAAAATCTATACAATACAGCCTTCAAAGAAAATACTAGAGAGTATCTTCACAACCTTGGGGGTAGAGATTTCTTAAATGGAACTTGTATACAAATTCTAATTTTACTATAGAGGAAAAAAAATGGATAACTCAAAGGTAATTGGAAAAAAGATACTCTAAATTTTTTTTGAAGAGGTAGTTGCATTTCAAAATATGTGTATGATTTTCCAAAGAGATGACATAAAAGGATCACTTTCACTTGGATCAAAAGTTCTGGTATGTTTGTCTTGAAAAAGCAGTCATAGTCTAATCAGATATCATATTCAGTATTTAAAATTTAAAGTATTTTAAAGGAAATTTTAAAGAAAGGAAAAAGAGAATTATAAAGTTGGCTAAAACTCACTAACATAAAGCAAAGTTGAGGATTTTTGGCTTACACGAGATGAATTTCAACTTCATAACTTAAATATCAGAAAAAGTGCCCTGTGCTTTTATATTTGATCATCAGTCAAGGAAAATCTTGCCATTAGTTAGTTAGTTTGTTAGTGTGTTTATTTATTTTATTATTTTTTTTACAGCTATTTTAAAGAAATGAGTGGCCAGGAAAGTAAAATATCCCAGGCGTTATCCACTTTATGACAGGCAGGTCATTCCTATTATCTGAATTACATAATGTCAGCCTGCAAATGCAGCTGCAAGAGAAGCTTGATAGAAAACAAACAATATTTTCAGGCAGAACAATGTTCCAGGGGGTGTGTCATACCACATCTTCTGCCACCAAATACATTCAGCATAAGAGGGCCTTAGGTTCTCAAAAAAATTGACATTTTTTTCCCAAAGGAGTTCTTCATTCAGTGACTTTATTTTTTTAGAGGAATTTTCGCATTTGGCTGTGTTTCCACTTTTTCATTATTTCCAGAGGGTGCATGTGTAACACAGAAAGCCACTGAGAAATGAGAGACAGTGATGGAGAGAGAAGTACCTCCAGCTGGGGTACGGTCACACTGAAATCCCCCTTCCTCCACTTCTCCGTACTGCTGGGATTTGGGCCACAGACATACATATGCCCGGCATGGTTTTCAGTCATCCAGGGACAGGATTCAAACAACAGTTGGCCTGTGGGATCTGACCCACAATGCACAGCACTGACCCACTGCTCTAGGAGGCTGGCCCTTAACACAATAACTTTAATGAAGTTCAGAGCCAATCTTCTAATTTGTTGTAGGGAA